TGCAAAAAATACCCTATAATATGCGCAATTGGGAAACTCTAACTTTTTTACACAAATTCCCCTCCATAATGTTCAAAGGGGAGACTCAATCTTTGTCACTTACAATTCCCTATGAAATGCACGATAGGGAAACTCCAACATTGCTTCATGAAGAACCCCCTCTAAAATACACGATAAGGAGACCACAATCTTTCTCCATGAAGAATCATTTCTGGAATGCGGAGCAAAATGACTCCAACTTTTCTTTATGAAGAATAATATAGGCAATGCATCAAAAGCAGACTCCAAGTTTCCTCCATAAAGAATCTCATCTGGAATGTGAGGTGGGAGACTGTGATCTTTCTTCACAAAGAATCCCCTCTAAAATATGTTGTGGGGGACTCTTATTTTTCTTTCACATTTTAGCCCCTATTAAAGGTTTGAAGGGGCCAAACATTGTTAAAAAGGATCATAATCTGAGTATATCCCCATTACCTCACCTCCACTATTAGATCCAACACAAATCAACGACTATATCACATTTTACACATGGATCAGTCCAATTCCATGAGTAAAATCATAGGCACATGAGTCATCAGGTTGTTCATTGGATTTTTTTTCTCGTGTGAGCCCTGATTTGTCAGATTCTTGTCATTTGGTCCCAGACACACAAATTGTTGACGTGGCCACTGATGGGCAAAGCCTTATGATCCACCAAAATAGGCTTGTATACCTCGCCCCAGCCTGGAGCGAAGGTTGACATGTGGTCTGAGTTTGCTAGGTCATCATGCAAGGATTTGTTGCCCCACTACATCGAGTTCACTCTCTTACCCACTCTGCTAGGCCTACTCTCTCACTCGTTAATCTACAACAATGCCCGCTTTGATGGGTCAGCTGCACAGCCCTGGCCCACCAACAGTAGTGAATAATTAATATGCGACAAGATTTGAAAGAATGACGGCTAGAAAAGAAGGAACCAACCAACCGTACTACAACACAACTTATATATATATATATATATATATA